TTCTATGGTAATAATATTTAACTTTCGATGGAAGTGGCAGATTTTTTTGTTTCTTTTGTTTTTATACTGGTTTATCCCCTTTTACACTTCTCAGTGTGAGAGTTGTAACCTCTATGTTGTGTCCTAAACTTGCTATTTTTTTCTCATTTTTGTGATCTTACAGGATGTGAGTGGCGTTTTTTTGTCATTTTGATTTATGTTTTGCTCACGCTAATGACATTGGAGATTTTATTGCTATTGCTATTGTTATTTACGTAGAAGCTTCAAGACAGAAAGAGACACACAGAGAGGTTCATAACAGATTCACCCCAAAAGTGCCCTCGGTGGCCCTAACAGAATTCAAGAGCCAGGACTAGAGTCTGAATCCTTTTCATTCATGTCAGTGATGGATCCCGATTGCTTGAGGCACAACTACTGCCCTACAGGGTATGAATTACCGAGAAACGGAGTTAGGATTCAGAGCTGGATATCAAGCATAGGTAGCCCAGCATGGGATGCAGGTTTCTTCATCAGCAGGCTAAATACTTTTACTTAGCTTCCTTGGAGAAACATTCTTTCAGATTCTTAGGTGACTTTATAATTGGTTTATACTAGGTTTTCATTTTATTCTTAAGTTATAATTTACTAAATTTATAGATAATCTCAGTTTTTTCATATATCATATAGTGGCTGTATTTTATTATTACACATTCTTGGAAGCTTTGATTATGTGAAAAAAATAAAACATCTAAAATATTGGTGGTGAGCATCTGGATAATTTGAAAGTAGGAAAGTATCCAAATTCTAATGAAGATTCAGTTGTGATAGAATTAGGACATTAGTGTTATCTCTTTAACATGCAGCCACAAAGCTGATGGAAATGTGGATTATCAGTAGCTTAATGTCTAAGGTGAGATAGAAGTGAAAGCTTAAAATTTCCAATAATAATCAGTGCATTAAGATGTGAGAGTTTGGGCCTGGATTGTAGCACAACAGATTAAGCCAACACCTTTAACTCCAACAACATCCCATGTTGGAGTGATGGTTGAAGGCCCAGATACTCAGCTTCTAATCCAGCTCCCTGGAAATGTGCATGGGAAATCAGCAAGAGTGACTGAAACCCTGGTCCCTTGCACCAACATGGGAGACTTTGGTAGAATTCCAACAGTCTGGCACAGCCCTGGTTGTTGCAACCACTTAGGCGGTATAGCAGTAGTCAGAAATTTTTCCTTCCTCTTTTCTTGCCCTCTCCCTCTCTCTCTTTCTGTAATTCTGCTTTTCAAAAATAAATGAATAGATTTATTTTGAAACACAAATCCAGAATTCTTTTTTCCCCACAACGCAAACTAGAGATTTGTAGAATTGCTATGACATTAAACTTATTGGAAGAGGTTCCTGAGCAATGTAATCAGATTTTCCTGAGGTGAACCCATAAAAGCCATGAACTTATGGCAAGTCGGAGTTTCATTTAACTTACTTGTTTGGAATAAAGATAAATGGAGATTTGTTGAACATTGGGTAACCTGTAAAATTGTGTATGTGTGAGATATATATATATATATATATATATATATATATAGAGAGAGAGAGAGAGAGAGAGAGAGAGAATTCCAGGCCTTTGTGGTAAAAATTTAAAATATTATTAAAATAATATAAAAGATTATTTTTAGAAAAGTGATTAAATATTTAAAACAAATTTAATTTGTATCCTCAAAATTCATCAGTAAAGAGCAAAACACTTGAAAAACAACAGCCACTTAAACAGCAAAAAAATCAAAAGATTAGAAATTAAAATATTATGTTTGTTATTGCAACTGAATTTACCAGAACATACCTATTGAAAATACCTATTAAATACCTATTAAAATTTGTTTAAGCATTGTTGAATTCTTTGAGATATTATAGAGGAGGAGTATTAAAACTGTTTGTGGTCTGTTCCTAGAAATTTTTTTCTTGCCTAATTCAGAATTATGGATCAAAGAATCTATCTTTGAAATTTCAGAAGGCATTTATCTTCAAGGATTTTGACTGGTGTTTTCTGAAAACCAGACGTGTATAAGAGAAGTCTAGGTTTCTCTGTGGCTTATTCTGGAACAGTTGAAAGTTCACCAAGTTGCCCTAATGATTTGATGCCTCAACCAGGTTTATCACAATGAACATTTCACTCCGACACTTCCATGTAGATATATTATCACAATTTCTAATTTTAAGAGCATCAGTTACCTTCCTTTCTAAGCCAACAATCACTGAACTGCTCATTGTTATCCTAGGAGGTAGGGTCTTTGTCTTCACTTGTTCTTGGCTTTACTCCTGACACCACTGCTCCAGAGATTTTGCGCTTATTTTTAATAGCACTAAATTGATAGTTTCCTTAGAGGTTAAATGAAAACTGGTTTGCTGTAACTTGTAATTTGCAATATTAACTGAAGTAAGACAAAATATTACTTCAAAGAAAAAATGTTAAGACTTTTATTACCATATTTTTCCGGTATTGCTGCTATCTATTTAATGATAGTTGTACTTTTACTCTATAATTTTGGAGACATCATCAGTGCCAAGATTCATACTGAAATTGAGAATGCCTATTTAATATATCCTCCTAAGGTGTGCTATGAAGTTATTTCATAGTTTTCTAAATTAAAATAATAGCTTTAAATTTGGAAAAGCATTTTATAGTTGAAGATAACAGAGATCCATTGAAAATATAGGCTTATAGTTGCTGAAAGCTTTGAGACCCAGTAGCAAGTGCCAAGTTTTAACTCATTCAGCAGTAAAGTCTGGTAGCCTCGCATATGAAGATCAGTGGTCCTATGTTCTAAATCTGGTGTTGTCCTATACAAACAGAATTATTTCATTGAAAATCTGCTTTCTATTTGTTAAAAGGATAACAAAATTTAATCTGAAACTTGAGGGGTGAAAGTTTTAGATTTTCTATATTAAGCATCATATATACAAAAGATAATTTGAACTGAACAAGATATTCACTGCTTGACTTGTGAGAGAAGTGACATTAAATATTTATGCAGTGTCTTTGTTCACCATGGAAGGGTGAGATTCTGAGAGATTCCATTAGTAGGTACTGTTTTGCTGCCTGCCTCTCAACTGTGGAAGCATTACCTAGTCACTGTCAAATCACGCTGAGATTATGGTCGCTCATCTTCTTGCTCTGTAACTTCCAGTGTGATCAAACACTTGATCAACAGCTTTCTTCTGGCTGCTAAGCATTCCTGTAGGCAAAACTTTTATTCCTTCTTTTCTTCCTTCCTGTCTTCCTCTTTTCTTTCCTTTGTTCTTTCTGCTTCTTTCGGCCCAAATGTTTTAATCTACAGGTTATGTTGTCTGTTTTATGGGGTGTCATCTTCTGATATTTGAATTTTGTTATACTTAATGCAAGTTGCACTGGAAATTTAAAGAAGGAATTTTAATTGTCAGAAATCTAAAGTAGAAATTACCCGTGCTTGCTACTATTTTATGGGTTAGCAGCGTATCTCTAGATGTGATGTTTTTTATTATCTTCTCAACCTTCATTGTTGCATATGTGCTTTACACTGGTGATAACCACTGGTGAGAACGTGTGAGGACACTTTATGCTTCTGTAATGTCTTTCTGAGTTCTTTCATCCTGTATGAGTTGAGAATTCAACTTAGAGTGACTGCTGAGATGACAGTGAATACTGTATTTACAGTGACTTGGTTGTATTTTTGCATAAATTTTAATCTGTCTGTTGTAAGCTATGTAATATACCTTTAGATATTTCCTAAGCTATAAGTATTATCTATCTTCTACACAACTATGTTCAATTCTTAAAGACCAAGGGGTGATTTTGAGCTCTGAAAAACAGGAGAATTATGCTTTAAATATTCAACATATGGACAAAAGTAACAAATTATTCAACTTTTCTTTTGGAAACTAAAGAATCTCTGAAGGATAGGTCTAGTCTCACTTCCAAAGCCCCAGGAATGAAAATGTAATTGATTTTCCGAATCATGCTCAAATAGAGAATATTAAAGGAGCCTACAACTAATAAATTAATGCTGAATGCATGTTAAATTTTCACTAGCCTGTCTCTGTAGGTCAGATTTACTAATATTATCAAATTTAAACATAGCTAGTACTCAGATACACATTTAATAAATAGAAAGGATGCACTGTATTTTTAATATATTTAATATATAATACTGTTGAATAATAGGAAAATGACTGAAATAATGAAAACAATATGCTAGATAATTCTTATTTGAAGATCAATAGATGAAATTTGCAGTGACATTGGTTGGTCCATGCTTATGTAGTTTAATAACAAAATCTATGCAACTTAGAAGATAAGAGCAATCATCTTTATTCTCAGCTCATCCTTGAGAGCAGTTGCTGTGTCAGGTAATCTCAACACAGGAAAAACTGGGCAATAGCATTTATGCTGGATGACTTTCCCCTTGTTGCTGTTGTAGCAGCCAGCTTCCTTGTAGATACCCATATAAAGAATAGCTCCTTATTTTATGACTCACACAGATTTAAACCATAACCGAAGTTTGCTGAAAAGTTGGGGACACTTGTTTATGTCATCATTACTAATCTAATTATTAAAATTATGTAAATAGTTTTCCGTCTTAACCAAAATAGAACACAACGCTTTAATTTACACTTGAATAAGATTAAGAAAAGATAGCTGAGGTATGCTGATGCAGATCTACAGGTTATATTGAAATCAAAATAAAGTTTTTGTTGAGTATCTGAAATAAATATCCTCAGATTTTATTGACTAAATTATGCTAATCATTAGTTTGGAACTCTTAAGTTTAGAATGATGCTTAGTGTGTTGTAGTATTTTTGAGAAAATTATTTTGTTTTAAATATAGCATATTTCCAGTGGGTTATTGACATATGTAAAGGAAATACTTTATCATGAAGGGTATGTTATCATACAATAAATTTATTATTTTATTTTTGGTTGATATTACTTTTTTTTCCAAAAAGCCTGCTTGGTCTCATGTTCATATTCCAACTTTGTTTTGCACACCCAGCTTGTGGCCGTGGTTTCTACAAATCTTCCTCACAAGATCTTCAGTGCTCTCGTTGTCCAACTCACAGTTTTTCTGATAAAGAAGGTTCCTCACGATGTGAATGTGAAGATGGGTATTATAGGGCTCCATCAGACCCACCGTATGTTGCGTGCACAAGTAAGTCCATGCATATGAAGTGAAGAAGGACTCTCAGTGTGATGTCATTGAGCTAGACAGAGCATTTAGGAATATTCTTATTGATTATTAAAATTTGTAGATTTTTCATAATGCTTGTAAGATTGAGGCAACCAAATAAAACAGATATATATTCAGTTCAATTTTCACATATGAATTTTCACATTTTTACATCTATCAAATAGAAATCATAAAATTAAAAGATAGTAAGTCTACCAAGGATATGAAATGTGATTAAAAATTAATGGTTTCTGAATTAAAATTCCTTTTCTAAATAGAATGAATCTCAGGTCTAGGTACTTCAATTAATAAATCTTTGAGAAACTTAAATCCAAAGCCAATTCCAGGCATTACCATAAATCATTTTTGAGCACATTAAGCAAGACTAAATGTATTCTCTGTTATATGGTGAAAAGGAAAACTATTTTTAAACAACTGTACAACTGTGCATTAGCCGTTCTGTTTTAATTGCTTGGAAGAAAAATAGCTAAGGACTGTGGCAAAAGTACAAAGACAGTTGTTATCCTGTTTTCGTTTTGACATATTAAATGGAAAATAAATAAAGTCTCTTGCCAAGTGAATTCAGGCAGGCTTTTATACCGCTTTTCCAGTAAAGGTAATGAAATGTTTATTTGAAAGAAAGCATTTCAGCTAGTTTTCTCTTTGATAATTGAGCCCCTAGCTTAGTGCTCCACACAGATCATTTTGTTCATTTGTTTTGTGAAGCCTTTTTTTTTTTCCCCACTTTTGTTTATTTCTTTATTTTTGGTTTCCAAAGGGCCTCCATCTGCACCACAGAACCTCATTTTTAACATCAATCAAACCACAGTAAGTTTGGAATGGAGTCCTCCTGCAGACAATGGGGGAAGAAACGATGTCACCTACAGAATTCTATGTAAGCGATGCAGTTGGGAGCAGGGCGAATGTGTTCCCTGTGGGAGTAACATTGGATACATGCCCCAGCAGAGTGGATTAGAGGATAACTATGTCACGGTCATGGACCTGCTAGCCCATGCTAATTACACTTTTGAAGTGGAAGCTGTAAATGGAGTTTCTGACTTAAGCCGATCCCAGAGGCTCTTTGCGGCCGTCAGTATCACCACTGGTCAAGCAGGTATGTTTTGTGTTTGCCTTCGCTGAATGAATGATGTGACTGTGTATGGGAAGTCTTGTTTGGACAGTTTAAATATTTAGCTATACTATACAGAGCTTAGTTTTTCCTTCTGGTGATTATTCTTATCGTTGACTTACCCTTGTTCGTTTTCTCATTTCTTGGAATATTATATCCATTCAAATCTCCAAGGATTTGGCATGAGAATAAAGGGATAAATTCTAAATTAGGTATGACTATTTTACAACAAACAATTCTATTGAAAGATATAGAGTAAAAATACTGGTAAAATGAAATGTAAGATATTTTTCACGTTTACAATGTGTGCTGGTATTTATAAGCTAATTGATAATTAGGAACAAGGACCTGACAGTACTAACTTAATACTAATTAGTTATTTTATTGCACAGAATATAATCTGTGTAATAAATGTATTACAAGTCATTAAAATTATGTGAGGGGAGTTTGAAATTCATTAGTAGACTTGTGATTATAGCAACATCCATAATATAGGAATAAATACTTTGGGAATTTCATAAAAATGGCATAACCATTATAATTTTGAACTGTCATTTAGGTTAAAAGAATTTTTCACTTAATTTCTTACTGGTGTTTGATGTCTTCCAGTGCTCTTGTTTTATGAACGAAGTATATTTTGGAAAACACACATTGGGTAGAAAATTTCATGCATTGTAAACTTTCAGAACCATCAGAAAAATCATAATACTGAAGGAAATTTTTAAAATTGGAACCTTTCTCAATTTTTCATGAATTACATGCTGCTCAAGAACAGTGCTGTGTTATAGATGTGGCCATGTGCTGACTTATCATTGTTAATTTAATTGGAGCTACAGTAGAGTTCAAGATTTTGCAAGCACCATGATGAGCTTAGAACAAGGTTCTATTGGTCATTGGCTAGCTGTCTTAAACCTACACATGCCACTGTAAATTTTGGAGCAGATTAATCATCCATTTTTATTTCTGTGCAATTTTAACAAATCTTAGCTATATAAATATATCTGGATATGATCTTATGCTTGCCATTTTGGGCAGGTTAATTCTTATACTTAATATTTCTTTCTAGTGTTGATTTAAAAGACTATTTAAAATAGGATTTTCCAAGTAAAATCATATTGTAGGAAAGCATAGAAAAACAAATCTTCAATAATGGACAAATTATATAAATGATTTATTAAACTGATATTCGGATTTATCCATTTTATTAGAGATATTTGCACTTTTAGTATTCTTGTTAACTATGTTTGTCATTAGATAATTGTATTTCTGTTGAAATTTGCTGTCATAACTCTAGGCAATGGGATTGGGAAGCTTAAGCTTTGTGACTTCGGTACCATTGTTTTGAAGAGTTGATGGAGACTTTAATCTATGGAGATAGAATATGTTTTATTGTATTACTATCAATACATGACATTTTCTTTGTATGTAACATACCTAAGAATATTTAGGTAAAGCAACTTTGAGTATTGATTTTCTTCTGATTGAGAACAAGTTAGACTTTTCTTTTTTAATCAGAAAAATAGTTTATTGGGGAAAAATGAAATTTTAACAGTTGTAGAAGCATTAAAACTTAAATACTGAATTGTGAACTTCTAAGTAAGTGAAATACATAGTATATAATTTTTAACACAACAAAAGATGTGTACCACATTTTAAAACCTAAAAAAACTAACAACAAAAACAAAAACTAGATTTTGGAATGGGTGGTTAGTCTGCATTTAAGGTGCCGGTTAACATATTTGCATTTTATATTGCAATACATGGTTCAATGTCAGACTGATGCAAACCCTATGAGGCAACTGTGGTGATTCAGGTAGTGAATTCCTGCCAGCCACACAGAATACCAGAATTAAGTTTATTGCTCCCAAATTTGGCATACCAGGTAGTGGCATTTTTTGCCCTAGTTTCCATGTCCCAAATTAAAACTCACACTGTTAGGTTTTTCTGTTTTAAAAAGAAAAAAAATGTCATAAATGTGTGAATTTTAATTTTTATTTCAGTAGAGGAGACTTGAGATGTGTTAGTTATCATTTTTCCATTATAGTTTACATACCCACTATCTCTCTGTAACCATCTTTTTCTAAAATTAGAGAATAATTTGAAACTCTCCATGTTCAGGATTCTCCAAACAAACCTGCAATAATTCTCAAAACCCTCATTGTCCATTAACCCAAAGCTTTCACTGTATATTTATTTTATCCTGCAATCACTTGAATAATGCATTTTTCAATCTGGATAATTGATGGATTGCCCTCCCTATAAACAATCTGTGGATGTCTTGGTATAAAAACATTTGTTCTGAAAGTTTGTACATTTTTGTGGAGACAAGACAGGATGAAAAGTAATCATCCAGTTTCTCAAGGATAATGTGTACATTTACAGTTCAGTTTCTGGTAACTTTGCAATATATAGCTTAAGACGCCATGCTAGGAACTGTGCTGAACAACCCCTGGCCCTTGCTGAGTGGAGACTGAGGGTAAACGCCCTGACTTTCAGAACAGGATCAGCCCTGGTGAGGCCTGTGCTTCTGTATGGATCTTTTAAGTGCTGAGGGATCACAATTAATATAAAATAAGACATTCCTCCTTTGTGGTAAATGAAAAAAATATTGGAAAATGGTTAAACATTTTATTCTCATGGCAAGGCTGTTGCGGTGTATAGCTAAATGAATGTTGACTTGTTTTCCCTTATATAACTCTTTGAGAAAGTGTCAAGGTAAAACAGAGCAAAATCCAGATCTATTGCAATGTGAGAGGAAATCATGGAAATACAAAATAGGGAATTATATCATGTCATTGGGAGGGGAAAATTTTGAGGGTTTTGAGGGGTTTGTTAAAAATTATTATTACTGGTCAACAGTAATCACATGAATTAGATTCTTACTTAAACCAATAATCCTAACTTTTAATGAGACTTATTTAGAAATACTTATATTTGAATATTCATCGTTATATAATTTCATATCTACTAATTGGGATCATATGATATATCTAAGCTAACTTGTCTTACTAGGAGCTGTGTTGACCTATAAAGATTAATGTCACAGATATCAGATTTATAGATTTTAAAGACACTTTTAAGTAAAAAGGTGCCTAAAAGTTTTAAGATAATTTTATACACAAAGCAATTGAAATTAACTTACTTTTTATATTTTCAGTATCCGTGAAACTTCTGAAACTCATGTGTCTTCAAAATGGGAAAATATTCAATTTATACCATGATGAATATTATTATTCTTTATATTGGAAGATTCTGTTGAATAAATACTGTCTTGAGAATTAGTTATAAGTTCTTGATGTCTGTTTAAATGCTACTTTGCAAATACTACTTCACTGCCTATTGGGGGACATATGTACAACTTGTTAGAGGATGCTAAGGATAAGAAAGTAACTGATGAGTCTTATGAGATGTTTTCTCAGATATGCATGTGGTTATCCACCTAATCATGGGAACCCTACCTACAATAGAATACATGCTTCAGAACAACATTAGGAAACTAAATGCTAAACTTTGAAGAAAGAGCGATTTGTTGTATCTGTTGAAAAAATTCTGTACAGCAAAAAAAAAAAAAAGTGCCAGTCAGTATATATTCAAGCTAATATAGTTGTGCCAGATGGATCCTAGGCCCTCAAGCAGATGATCATCCTTAGTTAAAACTTTGTAATTGCTGCTGCATTCTTTCCACAGACCAAATATAAGAGCACAAAAATGGTCTGTGGGAGTATGAACGTTAGCAGAATCAGATCATCAAAAAAGCACTGTCTTTTTCTGGATTCCCATCTTTAACTCTGAAATTGTATATACAGTTAAACATTTTTTTTTGTTTTGTTTTGTTTTGTCATTTGAGAAGACAATACGAAACTATACTATGTGCTCTCTTCCAAAAGGGACTCAGGGAACCTGGTGCAATAGCCAAGCAGCTAACGTCTTTGCCTTACATGTGCCTAGATCCCATATGGGTGCCAGCTCTAATCCCAGTGGCCTGCTTCCCTACCAGTCCACTGCCTGTGGCTTGGGAAAGCAGCCAAGGATGGCCCAAGGCTTTAAGGCCCTGTACCTGCATGGGTGAGCTGGAAAAGTCTCCGGGCTCCTGGCTTTGGATCAGCTCAGTTCTAGCCTTTGTGACCGCTTGGGGAGTGAATCAATGGATGCAAAATATTCCTCTCTGTCTCTCCTCTCTCTATATACCGGACTTTGCAATAGGAATAAATTACTCTTTAAAAAAAATGGACTTAGGCAGCTTAGCAATCATCTTTCAGGTCATTAACTATGAAATATTTACTTGTGTGACTACCATTGAATGTAGTTCTTTCTACATATTGTACAATGAATGTTGTAAGATTGAAACCTAATGGGAAAACTAGATCTAAACGAGAAAAAAATATATGATTGTTATACAAAAGTCAAAGCATTCTGATATTAATGGAAAATACATGATTTGATGTTAAGTAACACAATTATGTGATTTTTAGACAAATCACCTCATAGAACTTGAATTGTCTCCTAAATGATGTTTGAGACCATGAATTATAAAAATGGAGCTTTTAGTTCATTGTTAGTTTCATTTAATAGAATAAAAATGTGTTATGGAGATTATAGCAAAATATTTATTACTATTTATTAGACTATTAGAAATTCTCTCGTATTGTTAAAGTATGAAATTGATATTAAAAGAGGATCAGAGTGAATTAATTCACTACTCTGGACTCATGTCATCTTCCTAGGCAACCACAGGTTTGTGAACATAGCACACTAATACCTTGTTTTACATTCATAATGACACAGTCAAATAATGCAACTTAAACTATAACACTATATAGTATATTATTTGCTACAAATGACTAACACCTGTGTAACATGTATACTTGCAATTTTAGTGAGATTGATGGTTGTTTTAATGCTCCAAAAAGCACTAAAGAAGGAATTTAAATGAAAACTGAAACCTCTTGAAAGTGAGTATGGATAGTTTCCCAAGTTTGGCTCTA